AGGCTGAGGCTGAGGCTGAGGCAGGCTGAGGCTGAGGCAGGCTGAGGCCGAGGCCGAGGCTGAAGGCAGAATGAGGCTGAGGCTGAAGCAGGCTGAGGCTGAGGCTGAGGCAGGCTGAGGCTGAGGCTGAGGCAGGCTGATGTTGAGGCAGGCTGAGGCTGAGGCTGAGGCTGATGCAGGCTGAGGCTGCAGGCAGACTGAGGCTGAGGCCGAGGCTGAAGGCAGACTGAGGCTGAGGCTGAAGCAGGCTGAGGCTGAGGCTGAGGCAGGCTGAGGCTGAGGCTGAGGCAGGCTGATGCTGAGCCAGGCTGAGGCTGAGGCTGAGGCAGAGGCAGGCTGAGGCTGCGGCTGAGGCAGGCTGAGGCTGAGGCAGGCTGAGGCTGAGGCTGAGGCTCATGCAGGCTGAGGCTGAGGCAGGCGGAGGCTGAGGCCGAGGCTGAAGGCAGACTGAGGCTGAGGCTGAAGCAGGCTGAGGCTGAGGCTGAGGCAGGCTGAGGCTGAGGCTGAGGCAGGCTGATGCTGAGGCAGGCTGAGGCTGAGGCTGAGGCTGATGCAGGCTGAGGCAGGCTGAGGCTGAGGCCGAGGCTGAAGGCAGACTGATGCTGAGGCTGAGAGCTGAGGCTGAGGCTGAGCAGGCTGAGGCTGAGGCAGGCAGGCTGAGGCTGAGGCAGGCTGAGGCTGAGGCAGGCTGAGGCTGAGGCTGAGGCTGATGCAGGCTGAGGCTGAGGCAGGCTGAGGCTGAGGCCGAGGCTGAAGGCAGACTGAGGCTGAGGCTGAAGCAGGCTGAGGCTGAGGCTGAGGCAGGCTGAGGCTGAGGCAGGCTGAGGCTGAGGCTGAGGCAGGCTGAGGCTGAGGCTGTGACTGCGACTGCCGTTGCCACTGCGACTGTCATCGCGAATGCGACTACGACTGCGAGAACAGCAGAATTCTACAACTGGATTCTCATCCGAATCTTAAGGGGAATGCTTCCAGATGTGCTCCTACACATCGATGTTAGGTTGCTTTGCCGGGATAATTTACTGTATGGCAACATCACGCAGTGGGGCCCTAAGGCGGCTCGCTGTCTGAACAGTTGTGGCTTCCAGGTGGTCGTGATGGTTGAGGCGCATGTCACTTATGGCGAGTTCGCCTCTGGGGTGGAGCGTGATCTTGACAAAGACGGGTGGAAAGTCTCAGCTTCCCACAGCTCGCCGACGGGGCGGGGTGGTTCGTCAGGCGGCGAATGGGTGTTGGCCAAGAAGCACCTCGCCACCACCACCTTCGGAGGCATGCGCACTGTTGCCAATCGCCAGCGGGATCCATTCTGGGGCTTCGCAGGCCTGGTCTGGCATCAGTCGTCAGGGAATTTGGTCGTGATCGGAGTTTACCTTCTTCGAGGGCTTGGCACCACGGGCTGCAACCGCACG